TGACCTGGTTAGCAGCAGTGAGAAACGAGGACTCATCTTTTAGTATGGACCTGGGGTTTCCTGTGCTCAGGTTGATGGAGCCCTGTGCTTCCCACCATCAGCAGGTTAACTAACGTGATTCCTAAGGGATTCCTAACGGCAGAGTACAACACTTGTGCAACTATCGTTCTCTTTCAGAAATAAAGACAAAGACGGGAAAACGAGGGCAGAAATCCCATCTCTCATGAGCCTGAGACCTTGCACACCCATGGAAAATGATACGAGGAAAGAAACTGGCAAGGAGGACCAACGTATACTAGTGGGAGGAAAACGCAATCACAGAACGTTCCATATCCCAGCAGCAGAGAACTTTCACACAGTCAAAAGCAACCACGCACCGAAAGCATAGTTAGTACAAAACTCTGAGGTTAGGGAGGGGTGAGGAACACTCGGGAGAGATGGGACCCAGAAGTCCTCGTGGAAGGAAGCATCAAAGGCAATGCCCAGCACACTAAATGCAAGATGCCACTGCATGTATATTACTGACATTTTAAATGTGCATGCATGGCTGGAGGGGTTGAGTTCAAAACAAGAGAAAGAAACTGCAAAACATTTGACAACGTAAGTCAATATGGGAGGGAGAAAAATCGGAAACCCACAGCCCACTGCTGCACACATGCACAGTCGCAACACACAAGCTCAACCACCTCCGTCATCTGCCTGTAAAACTGGTAACATTTCAAGTGAGACACACAGAGAGGTGTGTTCCAACACAACTAAGGGGGCTGTAACTCACAAAAATGTTTCACTATATCCAAGTGTAACACTTGATTCAACCTTGGACTCATACATAATGCCTTTGCACCCAAATTCCACCTGGAGATGCTTGTCCTACGGCAATAAGGCATTTATGTAATAATTTACAAATCCCCAGGGTATTCTCTAAAACCCCTGTGAAATTACTGAAATGTTAGAAGGGACAGGATGCCCCCTATAAGGGAAAACACTGAAGCTACTCAATAGAACACGGCTCAGTTATCAAAGTGCTTTACAGGGGTAAGTGCGGGAAGATGGGGGAATGGACTCTAAGACGAAAAGACGTGTGAACACAGAAGCAAGAGATGAGCAAGTACATTCAAGTCCTGAAACGGCAAAGACGTGCCTTCAGCCTCAGCGCTGCCAAAAAGGATGCGGTGAGCAACAAGCCATTCCCAGGACAGAGGTTATCATGCTCACTGGCTAACCTGCTCAGCTAGGCCGTCTTGCCTGGTGGTAAGAACATTATGTTTTGAAGCCAACAAGTAGAAACTCAATACCCAAAGTCTAGTCTTTCACTTACAATTCGAACCAACTTTGAATGTGAATCTTAGAGGTCCCAGTGACATGACAGAAAAAAAAAGTTATTTCCACAGTACCACTATGAAAATAAAATTAAACTACACATGGGAAATTATGTGTTCAACATTCCTATTAGAACATATTAAAAAAAGAAAACAGCATTTTTATGCTATATTATACTGCTAAGCAAAATGAATATTTTTTTTAAAGTTTGAAAGTAGGAGAGTACTGTTAAGCTTTGCACAGTGTGCACTTCTAAGTAACAGGGTTAGGTATGGAATAAGGGTGTTAACAGAGGGAGGCGCCTTGCTGAGTTTACTGACTAGGAGGGTGAGGGTCAGTTACGTCTCTAAGTGCTTAGACTACGGCCTTCACGTGGGCTTCAGGCAGCCTTCTGTTTTCTAGTTTAATTGTGAGTGCAGCAGAGGAGACTGTCCTGCTATTTTTATTAAACTGGACCGAGAAAGGGAGAAGGGATATGACCTGCGGTGGGGATGACTGCAGGAAGGGAAAGAAATAATACAGACGAACAACAACAAACACCGTGACCTGATTAACAGCGGTGAGAAGCTAGGCCTCACCTTTTAGCTTGGATTTGTGGTTTCTTCTGTTCTGCTGGACCTGAGCCCTTGTGTTTAGACCCATCCACAGGTTAATTAATGTCAGGCATATCCACAGCCTCGACACAGATGCCCTCTCAATGATGTTACTTGAGAGAAAAGGATGAAGGAAAAGATGAAGTATCTAGAAAGACCTCTAATTTTAGGTGTTCTCTAGAAGAGGCACCACACCATAGCTCTGTGGAAAACTTAGTATTGCATAATATAACAAAACTCTCAGTAAGATTTATTAAATAGGTGAGAGGCTCACAGTGTTTTAACAGAATGAAGGGCGTCTACATTCCTTCAGCATCGCCAGCATATCAATAAGGCAAAAGCTTAGTTGTCAACGTGTATCTCGACAGGAGGTCATGTGACTCTCGAACGCTGTGGCCCCACACCCCGCGGTGGCTGGCTCGGTTACCATGCCTCGTCTTCCAATGAAGACTTTACTTACTAAGCACCTATTGTCTGCTAACGGGCCTTACTAGCTTTCAAGAAACGGGATGAACTAAGATAGCAGTAAAGCTATTTCTGCCTTAATAAGCTTCCAAAATGTATTTAAAGGTATAATCGCCAGAGCAATCATTACACCGTCGGTATTCCAGTCATCTTCATGAGATGGGACAACTAAACAAATACAAACAAAATTTTCCTTTACAAAGAGAATAAGCAAGAACGGGATGTAAGTGAAGACATTTGCTCATTTTCTGGAGCAGACTAACTAAGCGTGGGACAGCTAGCTAAGAAATGTTAGAAGGGTCTGCTCCCGGGGAGGTTTTTTAAATTTTGACCTTGAAGATGAGGATATGGGCTGCATGCCAGTCTGCTTTGCCCTTTAATTCCCTAACTTTCATTGCACCAAAGAGGAAGGAAACAATTATTCACAGTCCGCTGTGTATAAGACATTGTGCTGGGGTGAAGTTGAACATTTTTCAGACTTAGTTCCTACTAAAGAGAATCGCCATGGTGGGGACTGACCACTAGAGGGGGCTCATTCTGCTTCCAGACCCTTCAGGTTAAAATCGCCATCTACTGTACATTTAAGTGGTCATTTTTCAAAACTGTAGAGTAATAGTGCATGTGCTCTCTGAGTAAAATAAAATGGCTACCCCAAAAAGGGTCCAAGTAAAGTAAAATGAGAAAGCATGGTCAACCCAAAGATGCGTTTTTCCTGATGCTGTGGTATTTGGGGCCTCACTGCACACTGCCTAGAATTTTAAGCTAAGGACTCCTAGTAAAGCTTACTAACCTAAGGGTTGAGAGTGAGCTGATACTAAGTGCATTATAAAGGTAACTATTTTCCATTGAGGGGGAGCATAAGGACTTTCCCTAGATGATGTACGCTCTTGCACAAAGCTGGTGACCTTTAAAACACTTGAAAGGCAGTCACCTCAGGGTGCTCAGCTGCAGCTACCGACCAAGTAAAATCAAATATAAGTGAGGGGGACAGCATCTTAGCTATAAATTATCAAATACAGTATATTACAGGGTGAGGGAGTAATAAAATACTGAGACAACATAATAAAAGCTGGATCCTAATCCAAAGGGAAGTGTTGTGTGTTAAAAGGGAAGCGCTCTCTATTAACTAGAAACTAAAAACATTAAACGTTACAGTGAATAAAACCTAAGATAGCAAACTTTGTATAGAAAGCACTTCATGTCCTTAAATGACACAATGAATATAAGTTACTTAAAAACCCACAAGGAGCTTCAGATTTTTCTTTTTCTTTTTTTTTTTTTTTTTTTTTTTTTGCCCATGTTCATAAAATCTAAGATGTACCCATTTCACCTCATGCTGAGTTAGTATTGCTATTAATGAAAACAGAACCGGCACGTTAGAGTCCCTCAAACTCTAGCCATCAGGAACAAAGTCAAACTGAACAAACACGTTTTAATAAAAGAAACCATTCTACAAAACAGCAAAGCACTGGAAGCCCGGGGCCTCAGAAATGCCTAGGCAGAAAACTGCTGAGTCGGTGATATTTGCGTCCGATACACTGTACCGTAAAACTTCCGAATTCTGGTTGCAACGTTTGCACACAAACGTCTTCTCTCAATACTAATTTGTAAGTCAAGATATGAGGAACTAGGCCAGGTGATTAAAATTCACGAATAACACAACTTTTTATCCGGTAACCAATTGTAAATAGTGTATAAATCTTACAGTGTTATTTTTCTGGTTCATTTGTGTGATAGGTAAGTCAAGTTTTAAGCAAAATGCACACTACAGATTGTCTGAAAGTGTTCCTAAAACTATTTTTGAAAAATTGGCCAATGGTAACTTGTAGAACCTCCAAGATAATCATGAGTGAATGCATCAATACAGCCAACTCCTAAACAGAAACCTGTCTCAAGCATGGATCTGTTTTTCTGGGAGAAATTATTTAGCAGTATTTCTCATCTCACATAAATAACTCCCATCGAAACAAAGACCAAAGACTGTAAATCCCGTTAGAATTGGCAAGAGTCTTTAAGGGGGGGGGGGGGAGAATTACAGGTAGAAAATGAGAATAATTTATGAATAAGTCCGGTTCTTTCTCTTTTGCTTCTTCTTTTTCTAATTTTATAGCCCCCCCCCCAACCACTCCAAAAAAGAAGAAGAAAGCTTCACCAAAGGGTGGCTAAGAACGCTACCGGGCCACCAGGGCACCTGTCCACTGTGGGCTCCAACCTGCCACCCACCCCGCTCTAGCTATGCCACCGAGCCTGCAAAATTTTCTGCCTAGCAAGTGAACGAGGCAGCAAACCAGAAGGCTAGCTGTTGAGAGCAGACAGGGATTCCTTCGGAGGCTCCACGACCCCCTTCCTTCAAAACCAGCACCTCACCCCGGGGAGCTCACGTCCCTAAGGATCTCACACGTCCTCTAAAGCTCTCCAAGGTGGCGAGCCAGAGTGGAGCAGGATTTCCAGCCGGGCTTAGCTACACGATAATCCTGGGAGAGAGAGAGCCGCCCCAGGTAGCTCAGACCCGGCAGCGAATCGGGGCGAGCAAGCGAAGGCGGCGGGGCCGCGAGGGTGCGGTGGCCCGGGTGGCAGCCCGCGTGGGGGGGACCTCCCGCAGCCGGCCCCGCCGTCACTCACGTTTTCTGCACCGGCTTGCGCCGCTTGCGGCTGGCGTAGGTGATGTTGGCGCCGCTGCTCATGGTGCCCGCGCCCTGCCCGCTCCACCTGCGGCCCGGAGGCGGCGCCCAGGTGAGCCTCGGCCGAGGGCGGGCGGGGACCGGCCGCGACGCGCAGGTGCGGGCGGCAGAGGGGCCGCGGGGCCGCCCGCCGGGGTGGCCGCGGAGGAGGAGCCCGCACGCCTGCCGCGCCCCGTCCCGTCCCGTCCCGTGCCGTCCCGGGGGGGCAGGAGGCGCCGTCCGCGGTGCCCTGGAGAGGCTTCCCGGCTCCCGCCGTGCGCCGCCGCCGCCCGCAGCCCGGCTCCCGCCGCCGCCACCTCCGAGTCCGGGCCCAGCCCCTCCGGAGCACGCCTGCCGCAGCCGGCGTCCAGGGGACCCGCAACACAGGCGCTGCCGCCCGCCCCGCCGCGTCCCCGGCTCCTCCGCAGCCGCCGCGACCCCGCGCAGCCCGGCCCCGCCCCTCGGCCCCGCCCCACCTGCTCGGCCCCGCCCCTCGCGGCTCCCAGGGGGGGAGCCCCACCCTCTTCTTCCCAGCGCGTGATGACGCAGGACGCAGTGACTCCCTGCCTTAGCCATCTTCCAGAGGTTCTGGGCCCGAGGGAGGTGTTCACCCCGGTACCTGTTTTCCAGCCCAGAAGTGGGTGTGAGGCCGGATTACGCCCAGGCAAATTCTTTGTAGCCAGACATCAAGATGGACTGGGCAAAAGAGCTTAACGCCTCCTAATTGCATCACCTAATTTTTGACAGAGAATTACAGTGATCCTGGTAGATAAATACTGCAACCCAAGAGCATTCTAGTAGGTATGGCTTTAGAAATGCCCTTCAGAGTCGAGGCCTGTAGGCCAGGAGCTTTATAGTCCTTCCCTCCCGCTTTTACTATATCTCTACGGTAGACAATAAAATATCTTTTCCTCCATAGTAGCGTAGCAGTGCTGAGGCATTGGACAATGGATGCTAGGTCTGCTGTGACCAGAGTGGAGCTTGTGTTGGCAGTCTGGTGGAGATGGGGAGAGCAACTGGAACGGCTCTTCAGGAATTCTAGCTTCGATGAAGAAACTGGGTTTAAGGCTGAGGCCATGGAAGTCTTCTAAAGGCTTAATTTGGAAGATGATTTCCCTGCTGGGCTGTGAAAGTCAAGGTGGGGAAAGATGAAGATTCTGTTACCGAGGAGCAAAACGGATGAAGAAAGGGTCGTTGGAAAACTGACGAAGCGGTCCAGTTTAAGTCCAAATGACAGCGTGGGGGTAAGGAGGAGAGAAAGCAGAGGTGATAAAGGAGGAGACAGCTGTCAACCTCAAGAGGACAGAGCCAAAGAAGTGCATTTGGGGAGTCGGGGAGGTGATGGTGGAGGCGGAGATGAAATTTGATTTGTTTTACAGAAGAGAGAACACAAGACGGCAAGGGAAAGGGATGTATCCAGAAAACCGAGAACCGCAAATGGTGGTGAGGTCCTGGAGAAAGAGGAACCCTCGATCACTGGGGGCGGCTGTGTAAGCTGGTCCAGCCACTGTGGAACTCTGCATGGAGTTAGTTTCTCAACAAATGAAGAACAGAACTACAATATGACCAGCTGTACTACTTCTGTGTCCGTACCTGAAGGATTCTCAGTCGTAACAGCTTAAGGAGTGAACCTAGGTTAGATGCACATCGACGCTTGGAATTTTATTGGACCATAAAGGAGAATGAAATCAAGACATTTCCAGGTAAATGAATGAACTGGAAGTTACAGTGGTAAGCACGGTAGACACAGAAGAACAAATACCTCAAGTTGCCTCTCTCTCGTATGTCCTAGTTTTTTTATTTTTATCCATGAAAATACAAAGGGGAAAACGAGACAGGAAAAGGACGTCTTGTGGGCGGTGAGAAGAGGAAATGAGATGATGAGAGAATCCCTATGACTTGAGGGCAGAAGAGTGGCCCCTGGGGAGCAGGGGGAGCAGCAGGCATGGGGCAGGGTGTGGGGGGAGTCGGCAGAATCAGGGTAGGAAAATGCATCCATTGCATTAAGCCCATTGGTCTGTATTAGGAACAAATATACGAGTTAAAAATAGTTTTCTCAGCTATGTTTCTGGCTGAGCACTAATGACATACAATACCAGGAGGAAATTATAAACTTGGCTTCATACTTCCTAGGTCTGAAATATATCTATGACATCTGAGAAAAGATGGTGAGAGTGTCCCGACAGCCCAACAAGTACAAGCTGGAGCCCCGGTGTAGGGGTCATTGACTGGTGGAAAAGACGAGGCTGTGGGGATGCCGTGTGGGTCCTGCAGAAGAAGCATCAGGATTGGAGACTGAAAAACTCAGGAGCCCAACATTGCAGTGCTGGATCCGCTGGAGAAGGAGGAGGTGAAGGGGGCCTATAATTCAGCAGCTGCGTAGGCCGAGACAAGAGAACAACTATCCAGAGGCCAGTCTGAACTATATTGTGAGGCACCATCATTAATTATTAATTAGCAGTAATATAGGGTGGGTTTTATGGGGGATTAGCGGGTGCTACATCTTCAGAGAAGGGGAGGGAAGCTGACTCTGTGGGAAAGACAAAGGGCAACGGGGAACGATAGCTGTTAGAAGGAAAGCAGGGACAGCAGGAAGCAGAAACGAGATCCGGGCTGTAGTGGACTCGCTAACAGCCAAGCAACGCTTCCGCTTCCGGTGCTTTGCTTTTCAAAGTCCTCCACAGCTTCTCATGGGGACCAGGACCTTCGTGCCCCACACCTGGAATCCCAACACTTGGTCTCTGAGGCCAGTTCAAGTTCAAGGCCAGTCCAAGCAACCAAGTATGTTTTTATCTTAAAGGGGGAGAGGCCATAAAAAGAAATGCAGAATCTCTCACGTGTTGGGTGTCCTCACTGAGTCAGACTCTGGCTTTATTTAATAAGGTCTTCCAGGAGATCCAGCTGCTTGAGATCATTATGTAGTAGGCAGAGGGAGAGGAAACATGAGCGACTTAGAGCAGACTGGTGAAGTTTACAAGGGAAATACAGGAGGAGGGGTTTTTAGTCTGAGCTATAGAGGAATGGGTATACCCTGTGGTCGGTAGTTCTTGTTTTAATTTAATTTAAGAAAAACATGCATTAAAAGTGATCTGGGAACTGGCAGCAGTAAGGTGGGCATCAGCACTATGCCCTGATACATACCCCTCCCAAATAACTAACAACTTACAGGAAGTAAAAATCCTACTGAAAGTTGCCTTTTCCTTACAGCAATAAAGTAAGTGAATGGATAAATGAATGAAGGAAGGAAGGAACAAATAAATACTTCTAAAGAAGACCATTCACATTGATCAACAAACCAAGGGCACCGGCCAAACATCTCCATGTTATCTTTCTTTCATTTTTTTCACCTACATAGACAGATCACACAGAGATTCTATCCCGACATGCATTAAATGGAAGAGAATAATTTTCTCTTAGCATAGCAATCTAAAGTGCAAAACGCACACAAACAGTTTATTAACTGAATAAGTCACAGCTCCTCTACAGTAAGGGGTTGTACTAAACTGTTGGTGTTTTTGTTATTGTTGTATGTGTTTTAAGTCTTTTTTTTAAAATGGTGGTTATTTTCCTACCATACTTTCTGTGTTTCCTTAAAACATTATCTAAGAGTCATACCGTGCTATGTTCTCATATTCAGTCTTAGGCAATAAATTTTTGTATAGCCAAGATTAACAGTCTCATGTTCACAATCAAGTTTCAGGAATTCAGTTCATTTCAGTAATGGCAGTATAAAGTTCCCTTAAGAGTTAGTGTGCTAATAAAGCCAGTCTTAACTATGAGCTATTAACAACAACAACACAACACAGCTGATACTGTGCTTCCAATTACCACTGTAGAACATGGCTCTCACATTGTTATTTGTGTCCACCCACAAAGATATTAAATTTTCTATCATTAAGTAACATGGTATTTGTCTTGCAAATTTAACTACTCCATTTGTCTTTCCATATGGGTATAAGGCTAAGTTTCTATACATTGCTCTCATAAAATACAGTGATGAGGAATTATCATAGAACACAAAATAAAGATGTTTGCTATCTGATTATAAGTAAAATACCACATAGATGAATATCCCATTAAGAGTGAATTAAAATATCGAATGTACGCCTATTATTTTTAAATAACTGCTAAGTTGGTAGGATTAAACGTATAAGTTTGAATCTATTTAATAAATGCAACTGTTTTTTGTCTTGCTTAAAAGCCATGTGAAACTTATGGACACACTAAAAATATCCTAAAAATAGAAAATATAGGAACCCCGTTGTAGTTCAACTATTCACTTGAGAAGCTGGAAACTTCAGGACCAGGGAAACAAGTTTAGATTCTAGGGTTTGTTGATCTTACTGCAGTTCAAATATACTTTGTCTCTCTCTTTAATCTGCCTTAATTCATTTCTTAAACATAATTAGTTTACACTTTGTAAGGCAGCACTGAAGACTCTCACATAGAGTTATGCATCTCAGCTACTTCTAAATGCTCAATTTTTTCTTCACTGACTTGGGCATTCTACCATAATGTCATTGTCAGAAGGTACAAACAAAAAATTAGCTGGGTGTTGGTTGCACATGCCTTTAATCCCAGCACTGGGGAGGCAGAGACAGGCGGATCTCTGTGAGTTCGAGGCCAGCCTGGTCTACAGGGCGAGTTCCAGGACAGCCTCCAAAATAATACAGAAATACCCTGTCTCGAACCCCCCCCCAAAAGTTAACAGAGGTTTAAGAATTTGTAAATAAGGGTTAAACTGACAAAGGTAACTGGTATTATCCTTGACAAAGAACATAAAATGTAAGAATGATTTGTTATTAGTCAAAATTATTTTCCGTTACCTAGGGATATTCAAGAGGTTTTATTCATATCTATTTGTCTTTCTATAAATCCATCTATCATCTATCTGTCTATGTGGAAGATGACACCGTATGTATATGAACATATGTGCATCATGGCACACACGTGTCGGTCAGAGGACAACTTGTGGGAGTCCATACTTTTCTTCTACTTTGTGAGTTCTGGGGATTGAACTCAGGCTGGGTCTTGAGTAACTTTACCTACCAGCAACCCTGCTGACCTAACATTCTCAAGTTTACATGCTAAGGTTTTATTTTCTGGGCCTCTTATTTTAATATGTATTAAATTCAATCATGGGGAAGTTGATGAAGAAGCTTTATATTTTACATGCTAAGATTAATTTCCTCTTTAGTAAACATTTTATTATAATCTATACATAAATATCAATTTTTGTAAAGATATTCAATTTCAGAGAGAGATATATTTGATCTGGAAATAACAAAATGTGCTTTCTCCAATTTAAGCCAAAATATGGAAGAAGATACATTTTAAAAGGAAAAAATTCATATTAGCTTTTGAAATGTTAATGAAAGATAAATGATAATAAAACTGAATCTAAAAGTCTATATTTTAAGTTTGACAAACTGTAAAGACTAATACATTCTTATGTATAGTAAATGGCACAGCTATATATTCTTGAGAAATATTTAACTTTCATTTAAGCAGTCTGGGAGAAAGTGATTCCTAGTGTGTTTTGCATACTATTCTAACCTTAAAGAGCCAAAGAACATATGTATAGTTGGTTGTGTAGTTCAAGGACAGGCTAAGCACAGATTATTCACATATACATGTCCAAATATCCTAAAACAATCGCTGATGGTATTTCACACCAATGCTTTGTCATTAGCCCTTAACTCCTGGCCATCTCCCCTTTATGTACTTCCTCTGTTAACAAGACTTTACAGTTGACATGTAGTCAGGGTTTATATGTACATATAAAATGACAGGTTTTGGTAACCATTTCGGAGAAAGTGCTATGCAAAGAAGGTGTTACAAGGCATCCAAAAGATTGGTAAGTCTGAGGATAGAGGAGATCTAGCTACATATTGAATGAAAAGGACAACCAGAGCAGAATGTTCTAAAAAACCGCGTGTTCTCAGCCCTCCCTGCCAGTCAGGCTGCAGGAATTTGCCCTATGAATCTCCACACTTCAGCTTAGTGACCTCCCTGCCTATACAGAGACAGGAGTCCCAGATGCATAGAGGAGGTCTAATAGAAGTGAGTTAGAGGATTCCGTGTATTCTACTTCATAGGCAAATCTGACATTCAGTCTAGCTCTGCTTTGAGTTGAGTCTATTTGATTACGCTAAAGAATCACATGAGGTTGGGCTCATCTCGACTGACAGCTTGTTTAGCATGCCCAAAGCCCTGAGTGCAAACTCCACTAGTACAGAAAATAAATAAATGAACAAATAAACATATTTACATTGAGCAAATGTGTCACATGGGAAAAATCATACAAATCAAATAGTTAAGGGGCAACACATTTGTAATAAAAATATATGTAAAAATATTAAATCACTTTTTTGGTAACGAGAACCTATTTAAACCTAGAAACCAAGGTTTTCGAATATTTGCTTTAAAACGTTTGTGTGTCATTTCCCCATAATATTTACTTATATAAGTACATTTTGCGAGTGTCATATTTATGCCAAATATCCAAAAGATTCTTGTAAAACACATCACGATTGGGAGGAAGAGTCAATATACACACTTGTATAAAATCCGCAGTCTGAATCCTGCTGGAATGCTTTGAAGACTGTGGCTGTTTTGGACTCCCCAGAGGAGTTGAGAATGAGAGGCTAACTTCAGCAACACTGGCATCAGCAGAGCCATGTGACAAATGGGCATCAGTGTCAGGCAGCACAGTGCCCCCAACCTTCCGGGTTCACTCACTGAATTTGTCTTTGGGGGTGGTATGTAAAAGCTGACATTCTGGTAGAATTTTCCCCAATTACACAATGTATCAATAAAGGAAATAGCCTTAGGTAAAGCAAATCATACTTTGAGACAGTTTATTCAATGTACCAACTGGCTGTGACTTACAGGCACAGAACTCTGTTATTATTGTCAAAGTCTTCATTGTAAGTCATTCTAAAGAAAGCAAATGTCACAGCAACATGAGAAAGTACATAATTGCTGCCACCTAATATCTGTTTCCTTGTATTTTAAAATTCTCCAAAAGAAGAAAGAAAAATCCACCATTGCTGAAGGTGAAATATGAGACGCTTTTGAACTAAATACTCTCCCATTGTATATAAAGTGTTGTCTCTAAGTGGTAATTTGTTTAAAGCTTTTGGGAAAACCCCAATTTATTAATGACCTAATCAACTTCAGACTAAAGTGACCTGATGCCTATCATTTCATCCCTTAACAGCACATGCATTTTAAAAAAGTAGGTACTCCTTTGTCTACATTTCTATTGTACAAAGGTAATAGATACACTCCTGCTAACAACTTTTGACCAATAATGCCATTTTTTAGAGAGGAAACTGATCCATTATAACCAACTTGAGTGGGCCTATTCCTTATATAACTTTCATCGTCTCCTGAATTTTAACCTAATATTTCACTTAAGTATAAACAGAATTTCTCCAATTACCTATGAATATGGCCTCCATGAAATATTGATAAAGGAAACAGCCTTAGATATAACAAACTAAAAAAAAACAGCTTGATCATAAATGTAAACAGAAACATACTATACATTTATATCTTCAAAGGTGTAAATTAGGAAAATTTGTTCTTAAGTCATTGAGTATAAACACACACACACACACACAGTTACTTTAAGATACATTTGAAACAATTATGATATAATTGAAAATGAATGAGATACTATAGTTCCCCCCAACTTTTCCATTTTATCCATATGTTTTATTTGAGATTAAGTAATGTTAACATTGTTATACATCTAAGAGAATTTGATTTTGAAATCTTACATACTGTTTTCTATTATGCGTGATTCAAATTCAAGGGAATTTAGTATCTCAACTCCCTTTTCTGTGTACGGTAGCAGACAGCACAAATTAAAATAAAAGCTACGAATCCTGCCATTTGGTAGCCTTCAGTGGCACAAAGAAAGCCACTAATGCAGCTTGTGATAATGTTCTTTCCCCTTTTAATAAGGAGGCTTGTGTAGCGCTGACATTGAAAGGATTAAACAGCAAGCTTGCTGAGAAAAATACTCAGAGGCATTAAACCCTGGCAGTGTTGGTTTAACTGTTAAGTACTGTACAATGAGATTATGTCCAAGTTTGGAGGGAAAACCTGGTTTGACAGATGACTAAAAGGTAGCAATATTCGCAGATGCCTAAATTAATGCTTCAGTGAAAAACATAATTAGCACAAGGTTTGAAAATATGTCTCCTTTGGCAAATGTCTCCAGAGCAATCAAAACTGCGGACTGATGGAGAGGAAAGGGCGCTGGGCAAAGGGCCAGAATCTCGGAGTTCAAGCTTGTTGCTGTAACATTCACCAGCTCTGTGACCTCAGATAAGAAGTCTCCCAAAACGTTGACTTGTCGAGATGATGGATGTGGCCAATTGCAGCCGTCCCTGCTTCTTTATAAACTGCATTTCTACACTACAGAGACCGAAGGGCTGAAGGTGGAATTCCCCAATTTCATGTCAGTGAAGTTCCAGAAAGCAGATTAGGTTCAGTCAGAGGCAATTGTAAAGATGGAGGCCAAAGTCATCTTCCTTCCCCTTGCTTTGTTTCCCGCTAAGTGACCGTGTAGAAGGAAGGCTCGCCTATGATAGACTTCCGCGTCGTCTGAGAGGCTGCTGGGTGACAGCTGTGGTGATCCCTTTCATTATAATTGCAATGGCATATTTTCTGATGATTTCATAGGAACTCCTTTGTCACTTTCCCGGAGGTAGAAAAGTAGTCCCCGCCCCCCACTAGTCAGTTGTGGGATATTCTGGAAACATTTCTCAATGCACAGCCTAGAGTTGCTATCTCTAGCCTTTCCAATTATGTTGTAATCTTTTAATTCCTTGTAGATAATCTCTGTCTACTTAAAATGCCCAAAGATTATCCTGTCTCCCATGGAGTACTAATTGATATACAGATAGATTTTATTCTTTTACAAGTCTTCAAGAAGACCAAAAATGGCTGTACCTGCCAGCTAGTAGCTGTCAAATTACCTCACTGTCTTCAGTTATTATTAATTTTAACAAGTTAATACAGTTATAAACACATTTCATGAAATATTGTTTCTCTTGGGTACATAATCCTAAACAAATAGTTATAAATTTCAAAGGTATTACAAAGCTTCAGTAATTTGCCAAGGATCTTGTGCCCATTCTACATATTTCTTGCGGCTGAAATGGAGAGATTCCGTCAGAGTCACATTTTTCTGTTTCTGTACCGCTTTTCCACGATAATGGCATCAGAAACATGATGGATGGCTGTCTCTGCGTGTGGGAGGGAGATGACGCCCCTCTCCCTCTGTGTGAGGAGAGATTGAGAAGGTCCATTATTACTGCTCTGTATTATTCACCTCCGCATCGTCTAAAGGGATCAAGCCA